TAACTGTCTCCGAATATTATTTCACAAATTAAAATAATTAAGTTTCATATACTATTTGTTTCAAATTCATCATGAAATTCATCTGGAATTCCAGCTGACTTTCATGATGAATTTTGAATTATTATTTTACACATTGTGTTCTTCTACTCCAAAAAATTTATCCGAATAGACGTTATAGAATTGCAAATGTTGAGCCAGTGTAAATAAAACTAAAAATTCCAATATAACTGTCTCGAAATATTATTTGACAAATTAAAAAAATTAAGTTTCATATACAATGTGTTTCAAACTCATCATGAAATTCATCTGGAATCCCAGCTGACTTTCATGATGAAATTCATATTTGTTTCACAATCTGAAGTTCATCCAAAAATTCATCCGGAACTAAAATTTTTTTTGTACGGGCTCGAAAAAATCTAAACTAATGCACTAATAGATTGAAAAAAATTATGAGCGACCTTTTCTGAGTTTCTGAAAATTTCAGTTCAAAATTCGAATTTTGAAAGGTCGCTCATAGTTTTTTTTATTTTTCGTTAATTAGTCATCTCGCCGACTTTAAGTGTTGGGAGTGGCGGTATGTTGGGGTCTTTTTGGTTTGAAAAAATCTTAACTTACGCGGCAAGGTCAAATTTCAACCAAGCTGGTTTCTAAGACCAGCTTGGGATTCGAACTCGCGCCTGGCAGTTGATTGAATAAAATTATTAAATTAAAAAAAAATTATATTTTTTATGTTGTGCTTGATTTTTAGTTCATCTCGTGATGTATTCTTATTGATTATTGTACTATAAAAAAAAAAAAAAATGTATGGAATTTTAATTTGAATAGTAAAAGGTCACTCGAAAAAATCTAAACTAATGCACTAATAAATTGAAAAAAATCATGAGCGACCTTTCAAAATTCGAATTTTGAACTGAAATTTTCAGAAACTTATTTTTTTTAGTCTATAAAATTATACCGTAACGAGAAAAAAAATTAAAAAAAAAAAATTTGATTTTTGACGATTTTTGAAATTTTGAAAAATTTGGAGTGACCTCTTAAAAATTTTTTTTCGAGCTGTCCTTTGGTGAGGGCTCTTAAAACATCAAAAACTAACATTTTTTCACTCGAGACTCAAAAAAAAAAATAGTCGGTTTTTTTGCGCCACCCTAATATATATGTATAAGCAGAACCAGAGAATTTGCGCGTGCGCGGTTCCGCTGTGATGCGATGACGTCACGTAGCCGCTCCGGGCCAAGAAGCGCGATACGAGCAGCACAGCAAAGGCATAGCAATACAACACAAGTTAACTCGACAAACCTGACCAGCAGCACCAGCACTAGCACCAGCCACCGCGAGCGAGCCAGACAGTCAGTCTAGCCGCGCACCTCAAACTGTGAGTACCAAGTTTTAATTCATGTGTCGGCGCACCTGTCGACTCTTCTGCCTAAGGCTGAAATTATTCGAGTTAAAATAAAAAAAAAAACAAACAACTTATTATTGTTAATCATATACATTTAAATTAATTTCAATAGTTATAATAATAATTTCTTAAAACTTATCTTCGAGATCAATGACTCCAGTGAAAGTGATACTGTTGAAAGATTTATCGCTGCGAAAGTGATTATATTCTTCTTATTTTTTTTAATTAATTGACATTGTGTAATAACTAGTACAGAGACGCGCATTTCATTATCGACTTGAATCCGCCGACAGGAGTACTAAACTTTAAGGTATATTTATGTGTATACATAATTATTATTATTGCATAGATATAGATAGATAAATTAAATGTCTGTGTGTGTGTATTTTATATCGAGCAGCCCCTTCTTCTCTTAGCTCATTCACTTTTGCGCACTCTCACTTCAGTCTCTTTTCTTGGTGTCCCAGCTGCTGGTACAGCATTGAAGAATCTTTTGATTATTGTGCATGATAAAAAACTAGTTCTTTTATTTGTTTGTTATTGTTATTATTATTATTATACTACGTAATGTCCTGATCTTAATGAAATTAAAGGTAGTAGTTGCGTGACCATTTAAAAATTTTTTTTTAATAATTAAATTTGCTCCGAAAAATTATTTATAAAAAATTATGACACTGAAGTATAATAAAGTTAGCCGACATTTTTGATTTTTTTATTTTGATTAATTTATTAAATTGTAATTAAAAAATATTTTTAAAAAAATGCACTTATAGTTTTTGAAGTTTTTAATAAATGAAAAAAATTTTTTTGTAATAATTTTTTAATAAAAAGAAATTATTAAAATTTTTAGATGTCGGCTAACTTTATTTTCATCACTGAAGTATAATACAGACGTTAGCCGACGTTTTTAATTTTTTCATTTTTTTAATCATTTAATTAGTACTAAAAATATCTTTTAAAAATTACACGTGAAAATTAAAAAAACTTAGTGAAAATATTTTTTTATTGTAATTAATTTGTCATAAAAATCAAAAAAATTGAATGACATTAAAGTTAACAATCAGTGAAAAATTTTTTAATTTTATTTTACAAAAAATTATTCATAAAAACTTGTATTTTTTATTTTTTAAAATTTCTACATGTCAATTTTTTATAAAAATTAAGTTAGTCGACATTTAAAAATTTTTATAAATTTTTTATTGAAAAAATTTCAATTAAACAATTGAAAAAAAATTTTCACATGTAAAAAACTTGAAAAACTATAAGTGCAATTTTTTACAAATATCTTTTTAATTATAATTTAATTAATAAAAAAAATTTTTTAATTTTTAGACGTCTGCTAACTTTAGTGTCATCAATTTTTTTTCTAATTTTTTTTTCCATAATTATTGTAATAAAATTTTTATAATATGAATATCAATTCTTTTTTTTTCATTTTTTTGACATAATTTATTTCTCAAAAACATTATAAAATATCTGCTAAATTAATTTTCACCTTATCTTAACTTGTCCTA